GGTTACAGCAGCACTTGCGAGGACAGCGGGGAGCTGCGCGGAGACGCGCTGGACCCTGCGCCTGTCAGTAAGCCTCTCCAGCCTGCTGTCTGTGTGCCCTTCCTGCAGACACCGTCGACACCGATGCTCGGTCTGCAGTGACTCGGGAGGGAGGACCCTGGGCAGAACAGAGCTTAGAGCAGGGGTGTTTGGGAACAGAGCTCACGGTGAGCAGTCCTCTCAGGGCAGCAGGGCTGGAAGGACAGGCGGTGATGCCACTGCCAGCACACCCTGCAGGACAGTCGGGCAGTGGGGAGAGGGTAGGCCTCCTTCGGGGCTGCGTCAACGTCCGGGTTTTCAAACGTGCTAACTCTGCAGTTCTCAAACTGGAGTCATGGAATAATGAAAGGGACTCGGCTTTATCAACAGCTTGACATCAGATCTCTAGGAACGCAGTGACTACCATAGACCCCTGCCCCCGAGGTGTGGCGGACAGCCCCCTTGCCCCCTGGAGAAACCCCGTGTCCAAACGCAGACCCACAGCTGCCGTACACAGGGGCTCTGTCACGCTGTTTCGGCAACACAGTCTCTGGGGACATGTAACAGCGGCAGGTGCCAGGGAGTGTCCAGTCCAGCAGGCAAGACTGCGTGCTCGTAAAGCTCAGGCAGGAGCAGCCCCCGACTGACATCAGCACTCAGTCCTGCCCCCTCGGCGGTGCGCTCACACACGGCCGCGCCCTGACACCTGCGCGGCACCTGTACTCCCGCCTTGCATCAGCAGTTTTGCAATCCTGAGGGCTCAGTTTATCCAAGGGTTCTGGGACTCCGCTTTTATGCAGCTCCCCTCCAAGCAGTTAAACCTGCAATACTCTCACCTCTGAGAACACTGCATGGAGAAAGGCAGGGGGTGTCGCTCCCCACCCCAGCCCTGCCGGTGCCCTCGCCAGCTAGCTGACTGGGAGACAGGACGGGGAGGAGTCCCGCCCGGGCTCAGACACGAGCGCCTGGCTGAGAAGGCACCTGCTTACGGGCGACTTTTCCCAAGCTACTCTTCCAGCTCTTCCTCCAGGTAATGCCCGGTAACTCACGACCTGCCTCCTGTGACACTTCCGACAGTCCACCTACCGTTCTGCCTGACAGCATCCGCGACGCTAAACAATGCTGCTTCTAAGCTAAGGCCACTGTTTTCTTCAACCCCGAGGGGCCCTGGCCCCGTGGGCTCCATCCAGAGGCCGCGGCGGCGTCCGCACTCGGTGGCACCGGACGCAGCTCGCACCTGTGAGCGTTTTGCAGCTGTCATCATTTTGATCTCGGTGCTCACAGCTAGTGATGAAATCATCGTTTCGGAGCCGTGCCATAACACATCCTGTCCTGAGAACTCGGCTCGCAGAGGTTCTCACGCCTTCAGGACCGAGGCGCAGGGCGGGCATGCCGGCACAGGTCCGGCCACCGCCGTGCAGTCAGGCCCTGCTCCTCTGCTTCCTGGCGAGCGGGGAGACTGCTCTCACCGCCCGGGGCTGATCTGCCCCCAGGGTCCAGGCTGAACCCACAGTTATTCCACACTTTTTCTTTTAATAAGAGAGAAAATTGGAAAGACACAAAACGATTCTCACGTGCCAACTTGGGCTCAGCTTTCACTGGGTGCCGGGCCCAGCCCAGGAGCAGGTTGTTGGGTGTCGCCGGCCCTGACGCACGAGGTGGAGCTCTTCCACCCAGCACCCCAGAGAGGGCCCCAGGCAGACCTCTGGCTGCGGATGGGGCGACCAGAAACTCACTCCTGCCCCCATGCCGGCCTCACTGGCGGAGCTCAGTGGAACAGCCGTGAGTCAGGGGTCAGGATGCCAGGGGGCTGCTCTGCACACACACCTTCCTAGTGAACCATGTCTCACGGGACCCGGAGTGTGAAAAGAGGTCATTGGGAAAGGATTGTGCTTTTAGAAAATGTAAACAAACTAGCAGAGAAACCAGCCTGCTGAGAATGACAGTCAGGCGGCTGTCGCAGGAGCCGAGGTACCGGAATGAAGACGCAGACGCCTCACATGCAGACGGGCGACAGGCAGGAGAGGGGCAGGCAAGGCTCGCACTGCGAGACGGACAGCCACCTGGCTCCCGGGCTTTGAGTACCAGTTCTCTTCATTCATGTCTCTTGTTACTTTTCTCCTTTTTTTTTAATCTTTCCGTTTTTGCTATAGGGCACACACACTCGCCAGCAAGAGACCGAGAGAGAGAAATCAGCCCCTCCAGAGATAGAGATGGCCATACCACAGCCCCTTCTCCTCCACTCTCCTTTTGAGATTTTGGACGTGCACGCGCATGTACCCAGCATGATTTTCAAGGTGCTGGGTCCGGGACTCGGACTGTGCAGCTGACTGTGTGAGATCCAGCACCCTAACCTCTGTGCCACCTGCTAGCCCCGTGCCTGGCTCAATCTCTCTCTCTTTTATTTAGGAAAAGAGTTTTGCTATAGGGTGTGTGTGCTCACCAGAGAGACAGAAAGTGAGAAATCACCCCCAGGGGGGATGGCCATGCCGCAATCCCAGATTCTCCAGCCTCCTCTCAGGATCCTGGGCATGCACGCGCACACACTTGGCATGAGTTTTAAGCCGCTGGGTCTGGGACTTGAACCGCAGCGACGACATCAGAGTCCAGCGACGTAGCCATAGTGCCAACTGCTGGTCCCCCAGTTCTCTTTTTAAGAGGCTGCTCTCGGGTGACCGTCTCAGCCGCCCTGAGGTCTAAGGGTCTGCGCTCCACTTGTGGACTCTCACAAGAGCCAGGACTGGCCACATCTGCTCGCCCCAGGAAAGCACAGCTGCCTGAGATGACTTTAAGTCATTGGGTTTAACTTAATTCTTAAACCGAAACGCTGAGGAGGTGGAGACCTCCTCTTACTGACAGACTGAAGTGTGGGGCCCTGCTCTGTCATGCCTCCAGCCGTCTCCACCTGCAGGCCCGTCCTGGACACCGTCCAACCCCACCCGCCCTTCCCCGAGCGCTGTGCCAGGACCAGGAGTCACCCAGACCCTCACCCTCTGCTCTCGCTTTGGGCGACGAGGCACAACGGGAACCCACGCAGGAGAGGACCTCTAAGGGAAACCAGTGCCGGGCCTTCAGAGCGCCCTGAAAGGCGGCCCAGCCCTGGCCGAGACACCGCGGCATTGCTGCCTGCTAGGCGCAAGGCCGACAGCATCCCCCTCAGTCTCAAACTGCCCGCTGGCTCTGGTCCCCTCCCATCCTGAGGGCTGCAAAGCCTGGGCTCTGCCCTCTGGAGGTCTGCCCAGGAAAGGCAGGTGGCCAGGGGCTTGTCCTGGCCACTGAGGTGGGGCAGACAGGGATGCAACCTCTCACATTTAGGCTCGCACCCACAGCGCTTCAAACCACTCACATCAGCACAGACCATGCCACCGGACCACACTGCACTGGCACGGCAGGGGTGGAGCAGCGTGTTTAAGGAGAGCATGGCAGGCAGGGCCGTGGCCCCCCGAGCCCTGCTGAGCGCACGGCCCCCTGGCTGAGCACAAGCCCTCCCCCAAGCGTGGCCCCCAGCTGAGCGCGCTGACCCCCGGCTGAGCCTGTGGTCCCCGGCTGAGCCTGTGGTCCCTGGCTGAGCCTGTGGTCCCCGGCTGAGCCTGTGGTCCCCGGCTGAGCCTGTGGTCCCCGGCTGAGCGCAGCTCCCGGCCACACTCACCTCCATCTGCAGCACGAGGCCTCGTGCAATGGCACGTCAGTGACCCTGGGTACAGGTCACATAGGGAGCAGACAGGCAACACCCTGCCACACCCAACGCCATGACCCAGGACGCC